GTTTTCTTTGAATCATAATATGTTTAAAAGGGCGTTCAATTCATCGATTGAATATTTATCAAAAACCATCATATATATATATATATATATATATATATATATATATATATATATATATGAATGAAAGCAATTTTCCAGCTGAAATTTAGGTTGAATAACTAAGAATTTCTTTTGTTTCAGTTAATTACAGTAATACTATTGAATCGGAAAAAAATACTTGCAAATTTCACTTGTTACTTTATAGTGTTGGTTACTATGTTAAGCCAATATAATTTATTCTAGCTTCTGGACAGGCGAATTTATCCATTTTTGTTGAGTCACGTTTTGACACTTGTTAATTAATCACTTATCATCGCTGACTCTTTTCATATGAGCGTGTGTGTGCACCTCATCCTACTCATCACATATCTGTAGCTTATCTTTGTGTGACTATAAATATCGATTAGTGCTTGATTAAATGGAGTTGGTTCACACGCTATCTCCTATGCATGTCATTTCGCTTTGTTCTCTTTTCTTCGCTTCATTCTCTGCAATTCTCTGATTGTCTGTTCCGACCAACGAGTGTACAAAGTATTTGCCTTATATAATTCCGTTATTCACCAATGCGATTTAAGTCGATAATTTTATACGAGGATTGGTGATATATAAATTTTAATAGCACTCAAAAACAATCAAACTTGAGCCAGATAAAGGGCCACTAAAAATTAACTGAATGCAATTAGATTACATTAATTGCACAGTAATCTGAATATCTTTATACAGTAAGATTGAATGTTACATTGTATGCTCCTTTTCATTTAGAGTTCGCTTGTTTGACGCATTTATCTTATCAAGTATGAAACATACGTGTTGATCGAATTTCGAAATGTTTTATTTTTTCACATCGACCATTAAAAATCCATCAATATTTTATTATTTTTTCGTTACCATGAGTTTTGTTATACGATTAACGTGAACTCAAAATTAAGGACAACATTGACCTATGTGTTTTTTTACTGAATCAAATTAATTTAACGTTTTAATCTACAGTTTGTGACTTTATATCAGCCATAGTACCGGTATCATGCAATGCTTAGTAAAAGAAGCACCGTGCAGAATTTTATATTTACCTAATAAAATAAGTATATTTGATTTCGCAGTAACTATAATGACCTTTCACTATTCAGCGTGAAGCGATTAAATATCTATGTCTCGTCATAATTATCTCAGCTATTCTGCATGGATAACTGTATACATCATGTACAGCTGAACAGCTTATGGACAATATTAGCAAATAATAATTTTCATAATTTAAAACATAGACTGATCTTAGCTCGATGATCGTTGAAAACCTGTAATTACTGGATTGCCATTTTGTCTCAGCATGCAACTCTTCAACAGTGCACATCCAGAATCCTATCAGAGATTTGATCCGAAGTCTTTTGTGACGATACAACCCCGAGATCAATGATTCGGCATCCAACAATTTCAATGTTTTACTTCAATCAATACTTGATACTGCACAATCCTCATACATCTCTTGTTGTGAATAACTGTTACCGATTTAACATCAAGAGTTCAATTATTTTGTTGGCAAATCAATAATTAATTTAACTTAAGCTTCTCGACAGATAATGTGAAAAATAATTAAATCATTCAACTTTTAAACAAAAATAACCCACCTCAATTCAATACAATTACTTAAATAAAATTTTACTGTAAAATAATAATATTAAGTGGATTGGTTGATGTTAGACACTATAGCTAGTGGATGCCAGCTCAGTGGTCAGTCGGTTAAGCATTCGCACGCGAGACCAAAGGCCATGGGTTCGAATCCTGCGAGCGGGATCGAGGATGTGCACTGCTGAGGAGTCCCACAATAGGACGAAACTGCCGTCCAGTGCTTCCAGGCTTCCAAAGGATATCTAACATCAATCGTTCATGTTCTCAATCAAAAACTTAATAATCTCTACAACCTTTATACTAGTAATATTAAGTGAGCTCGTTTTATCTTATAAGCCATAAATTTTCAACAAAAAAAATAAGGAACGCAATAATTTTCTAAGCAATATGTGAATTATTATTGTTTCTTTTTGTTTACAAATGTATTTTATTTTTAAAAAATAAACATAAATTAATTCAGTTTGCTCGTAAAATTAAAAAAGAAATAATAATCATAAAAATATTTTTAATTTATTGCAATACAATAAGCGTGAAAATTTAAGATATAATTAACTGTTAGAAACATTTGCAAATTGTTACTGGAATGTTTATATATATATATATATATATATATATATATATATATATATATATATATATATATATATATATATATATATATATATATATATATAATCGTTATTTTTACCGGTAAAGTGAACCAATATATAGGCATTTGATCAGCATAACTATTTATTCGTATAAATACACATTTCATTTACAAATCTGTGTATAAAATTCATTGTATTCATTTTATCCTACAATATTTATTGTTCTAAAATCAATTGAATTCATTGTAACCTATAAATTACATTTGTTACTGATAATGTTAATAAGAAAAATTGTAATAAAGTATTTATTATACGTTTACGTATAAAATAATCACTGTTTCTTAGTTTGAACTATGAATCAAATTATCTATGGGAATTCTCAAAACATAAGCTACATACAATTAGTTGTTATAGTACTAATAATCAATAAATAGTAGTTTGAATTCACATAATGGTATTTAAAACATAACGTATGATGTTACTGAACTTCAAAAGAATGATTTATCCAATCTGATTAGTGTTCTTTTAGCAAGGTTTTTTTTCTATGGAATCGGGTTGCTGACCCGATGCCCAACTTTTCTCTTTTACCCGGGATTAAGAATGACAGTAACTTTAGAAGAGCTGCAGGCAGAGTTCAAAAGAATGGTACCGTACAATTATTTATTTTAAATCCTTTTTTAAAAAATATTATATATATATATATATATATATATATTCAACTTTATTGAATCTAATAAAGTTTCATTCTAGAATGTTTGGTGCAGAAAAATTTGTAACATGTTGCACTGAATGTAGTACGGAATGAACATAATTAAAAAAATACTCAAAAACACCTGTGTGCAAAATATTAGCTATTTTTTAACATACAATTTATTCTCATCATAAATTGTACATGAATTAAATATTTTATTGTATAAACATCCTTTTCATTCATACTTCACACTAGGGTCACTTATTTAATTCTAATGAATTGGGCAATATATTGTAGAGAGATAGTTTTAACAAAGAATTAAGTATATCGATTTATTAAACAATAACTAGTTTAGTGTTTCTGCAATCGGTAAAATGATGGCGAAGATTCACGTTCTAAATGGATAGTTTTCTTGATGTTTTATTCCCTGAGCTATGGGATTTAGATGTAGAGTTTTAATTGTCATTATGGACAACATCACTACCTACTTTATATAGCAATCAACTTTCTAGCTATTCCATTAATGGTATATCAGTTTGTTTCGTTTGCCTTGTTTGCGGTTGGCAATCTCCATAGGTTTTGTTGTCATTCTTTGTCCTTGCATTTACATTGAGTATCATTGTTAGTTAACTGCTGGCCTGTGTCGATGTGGCTGTTCGTTGCTAAATGATCTGAATGTTATGCTTCCAGATTGTTTAACTATTTGATAAGGCTTTTTTATCGTAATTAAGGATATCTTTGGTTGTAGGTTTATAAATATGCTAGAAAACACTGCCGTTTGAATTATTTATATCTATGTTCATTATGTACAATAGATCTATTTGCTGTCAGTTGGCATGAAACACATAATTACTTCACAATTTAGTAAAAAGAAGAACTCTCTATTCAAAAACGTTCTAAATAAACTGATATAACTGAATATAATATGCCTATCATTCATTTTAATCACTGATCTTAAATTATATTTTTCAAGATTGTATATTTTGTGCCTATATTCAACGCTAGTAAATATCTACTCGCATTATAATTTGCTAAAACAGATACAAAAAGTCTATTTCTCATTTATATTGTAATGGAATAACTGGTACACTTTAGACACGCAAAGTTCAAGATTAGCATTTAATGTTTTAAACAAACCTCAATAAGAATGTAAATATTCTATTAACTGCCTTTCATTGTATAGGGGTTTTCACTTTATCGATATATATATATATATATATATATATATATATATATATATATATATATATATATATATATAAAGTAAATATTACGAAAAGAATATGTTTGACATTGTTCTTTAATTCAGTCGTATTTTTTTACTTTGCCGTTGAAATTAGAAGGCTAGAATAGAGTCAGACATACTAACTATTGGCTTAACTTTGTAACAAAAATTCATACTTTAATGATTGTAAATGGTTATTTATTTTAAGAGTTTACACTAGTTAACAAATGTCGAAGATAATTTAGGCGAACATCAATTTCTATGATCAGTTGACCCATGTTCATAAAGGATAGAGACTGCATTCATGAACGTTTTACTTTGAATGTTATATTGCATGCTTCTGTCAGATACAAATGACAGAGGTGCACTAGAAAATCAGTTAATGATAACGAACGTTAGCATATCTACTAAATGTGTGTTTTACAGCATGTAGTTATATAATAATTATAGTCCTCTGTGATCCAATGTCAATCAATTTTGTCTTGTAATTATATGAAACTATGAGCTGTTATTTGAATATGTTTTTTAAGTATTAAGCTAAGTACTTCGGAGATAAAAAAATTTAACTTTTCAGTTTCCTTTAGTTCTTTCTGATTCAGACGATTAAACTACCCACCAAAGATACAGGATATTTATAAAAAACCAGCTTGTTAAATACTACAGTTAGTTTTGGATTTTTATTTAAGTCGAATTGAAATCAAGAGAATTATTGGAATGTGTGTTACTTTAAAAACTTCTTAGTCAAAAAGCGTGTGCAATATATATATATATTGAGTAAGAAACGTTATTATTAATGACTAATTATTCTACTTCTTTTTCGGTTATATTCTAGTTGTGGGACCAGGTAAAAATAAATCAGCAGCCCAGGTGGTCGTACTGAAAATCATCAACATGATAATTTAAATCAGCGTAACAGTTTAGGTAGTGGGGATGCAGAGGCTACTGAAGATAGCAGTGATGCACCTAAAGGTCGTAAACGAAGAAAGAAAAAATATTCAGTGCTTCAAGCGAAGTTAACTCGTTTAGCCAGCTTAATTGGACAACTGGGTAAGTTAAATAACTTTGCAGTGTATCTTAACTAATGATCAATAAAACTTGTTAGGTTTCAAAGAGGTATTCTACTTTATTTGTACAATCCTAAAATATAATCTGTTGTAATTTCATGGGAAAATGAATCCAGAGTATGTGTATTCTAAAAAGATCATAGATATTTTGTCTATCATTTGTCGATCACCACTGGTAGATATAGCTTCAGGATATATTACAAAGCGTACTGTTTCTTAAATATCATTTTCAGCATGACTAAAGCGCTTAATATATCTGAAAAGCTATCATCGTGTCTCCATACTTAGTGAAATTACCAATAACAATCTCCTATTTCGTTCAAGAACAAAGAAGCATTTGCTATTAATCGAAAAACAACAGCTGGTATAATTCATTCCAACTTAATAATTACAAATTTTTATAGTATGGAAGCACAAAATAAAGGTCAGACGTTCACTAATGAATTTTTTAAAAATCAAGTCTATTCAACTACACAAGATGGGAATAAAAAGATATTACTTTATTTTAACTATAATTTTCACGGATATGGAATACTACTTCGTCAATTTTGGCTTTTAATATAAGCATTTAGTAAGTTACAATTGTCAAACTGAACTGAGTACATTCGTATTTTCATAGTTGAATCAACGAGTTGATCTAAGCTAGACCACTATTTAAAACCTGGATGCACTGGTTATTGCTTCTCACTAGATCTCACGGAGTTCCGTCATGAAGATAGACACTAGTGAGCACATGAATATTATCAGTATGGGGGTTTGTGGAGACTGTAGTATTCTCACCGTTCGATGCCATCTCAGTGGTCTAGAGGTTAAGCACTCGGGTCATGGGTTTGAGTCCCGCGTGCAGGATCATGTATATACACTGCTGAGATATCTCACACTTCCAGATTTGAATAGTGATCTAGCTTATATTGATTCGTGAATTCAACTGTAAAAATGCTACAATTTCTACAAATCCTCATACTGATATTCATATTTATTTTATCTATAGAATTACTACTCAATGATAGACGTATAAAATAAGACAAAAACTATTTACTAGTCGATTGATTATTCCTAACAGTCACTTATTTACTTTACTTAATGATAACAAACTTCAAAAGAGATTATTATGCACAAGACATGTAAAAATATAAATATCCTGATTAATCTTTTCGGTTTGTTAGATTATCCCAGCTCAATATTTTTGTTATCTACACTGAAGTAAACTAAAATTATAATGATTTTATACACACAGACAACTGTTATGTCATAAAACTAAATAAATCGCCTACTTAAAATTTCATCCAAATGTTTATCCTTTTCTTCTTTTCTTGATAAATGATGAAGTAATTACGTGAATGGCAGTCAAATGTATATCCAATAGTAATAAATAGGTCTAGCAAATATGTTAAATAAACAAAAAATTAATTTTATATATAAATTAGACTTTAGACAAACTTAGTTCATACTGTGCACATATCAGTTAACTTTAATTTGATTGACAAAGTCAGTAAGAGTTATAAAACATAACTTCATATGATATTTAAACATTTTTTTTCCAGAATTTCTGTTATTAACTAGGATTACAAGTATAGATAAACTAGTTCGTCCAGTTCTGATATACAATCTTAAAGCTGTTCGGTATATATAAATAAATCTAAATGATTGATTACCCTATTTTTAAACAAAATAAGGCCTAAATCTAGCAGAAAGGGATCATAATTTCATTGAATTGGAATACAAACTGGCTGTTTTAAAACACTTCTAGCAAACTGTATTTACTCTATGATTTTATTAATTAAGGGAATAATCTATCATTTGGTAAAAATCAGTGCTTCAATAGAGTAAGATTCATGATTTTCTTAGTGAAATCATGTTATTCATAATTAGTTATCGGTTCATTTTCTCCCTTGAACTCTCTTGAACAAGTGTGATTCGTATAATAGTGATCTTTTTAAAAGACAGAAGCAAAACATTCGTGATTTTTCTCATGTGTGAACACTTGTTACGTTGTCTTAAATGAGCCTGAAACTTTCAGACCATCAACAAATATGAAATACGCTATTTATGATTTCACCCAGACATCTTAAGTTAAAAATACTGTTTACCAGACTGATTAGTAATTATTTTAAAACTTGATAGGTAGAAATCTATTTAGATTTACAACTTGATAACCTGGCTACAGTCATTAATAGGTGTTTAATTAAACTATAGCTTCAATCTACTAAAATGCAAAACGTTTATGCCGCATGGTTCAAATATGGATGAATATATTATGAGCAAAAGATTGAAGTTAAGCTGATAATGGTGTTGTGAATGGAATCACTAACCAATTAGCTTTACTACTTGTTAGTAAGTGATAGAAAGTAATGAAAAAAAGGAAAAAATCGTTTTCCGTTGAAGAAGTATATGATTAGAGATCTAAGAATCCACGATAAAAGTGGAATGAAGTAAGCTCATGTATTTGACTACCATTACTTGATAAACCGTTCAATGAACTGACTATCTTTCCATTTATTTGAACGTATTTTTTCTTAGTATTTGAGTGAAAAAACTAGACCAATAAAATTATTTCTATTTCGTTTTTACTTGAAGTAAATTAACAACCAAACCCCTCAAGTTTTTTTAATGTTAACGATTGATTGGAGATCAAATAATCCGTGAAATCCGATTCATTATTTTTCAAATGTTGATCGTTTTCATTCGAACTGTTCATTAATTTTTTTCGATAATTTAATCAAAATTATTAATTACCCTTTATTTTTTTCCTTTAAAGGTACCGTTGTGGCTAGTTTAACAGTAATAATATTAATTGTAAAATTTTCTGTCACTACATTTTATTTTAACAAAGAACACTGGGATACAGGCAGACATTTACATCAATTTGTACAGTTTATTATTATTGGTGTAACAGTACTTGTGGTTGCTGTGCCCGAAGGACTTCCATTAGCTGTAACTATTTCATTAGCCTATTCTGTCAAGAAAATGATGAAGGTAAGCAATTTAGCCTGTTGTTTTATGTTGATAAATAACATCGATGTATGCCGTTAGTTAGACAGTAGACGAATGGCTAATATTCTTTCAACTTTGCACTCAAATTTTAAAGAAAGAATATATCACTGTCTAGAATTTAGTTAGAATTTCTATAGAAATAACATTAGAAATGCACAACTATTGACTTTAACAAGAATTGAAACTAAGAATTTCAGTCCTCACGGTAAATAAATTTAATTCGGTTCAGTAATATGAAATATAGAGGTTCGCATTTCTGTGGTCAGGTTTTAGTCTATTTATACTGAGATAATGGTAGCTAACAGTGGAACTTTTATTAAAAGCGATTTTATATTATTTTTGTTCATGTTATCCGTTAGGCTAATACTTGGTTAACACATTATAAGAAAATAAGACAGTGAATATGATGTGGGGTGTGTACTATAGAACTGAGTAGAGAACAATACTTTTGTTTGTTTGACTAAAATAAATAAAATCATTATAAGCAGAGACGGATGGTGGCTAGCAGTGGAATTCGGGAAGTGTGTTACGTCTTATTTGGGACTCGTCAGCTGGATTTACCTGTATCCCAGAGTTGATGTTCACTCCGTTACTCGAACTAAATAACGTTCTTTTCAAACGACATCACGTTATACACTTAACAACTGAGTCCAGTAGACACTAGGTTGGACGAAACGCGCGTCCTGGATTCCACTGCTAGCTACTATAGATCTCTGCTTAGAATGCCTGTGATCTAAAACCGTATCTAGGCAAACCTCACAGGGTCCACATCTGCCAAACAGAGAATGATCAATTGCAGTCCTAAACATCAACGGGAAAATTCAAACACTGAATACAAAAATGAATTTGTACTCAGCTGGGTTTTTTTCAAAAATGTGGAGAATATCTAAATTAAACAGCCAAATCATTGTATTGTCAGTCGGCAGCTAACAGAGTAAAACAAGATAAGAAAAACAAATGAATGTGCCATTTAGTCACAAAATACAATCAATTCGGGAGTTTGAACTTTTTATCAACATATGAAAAAAGTCACTCTATGAACTGAACTAGATAAGACATATAATTATTTAGAAAATAGAATTATTAAACGTTAATGGATAGTTTATGATTTGGAAGAGGTTAAAGAATGAATGCATTTCTAAATCAATTTCATCATTTAAGATCTTCCGTTTTCTGAAAAAGCTTTGTGGTGCAATACAAATCACATAAACAGTCAGTAGTTTTTTGTGTTATTATTTGTCTTGGTTTGATCATACTTTGCTTTTTCTTATTTCATGATATTTTATGTAGGGACAAAATTTGTCTAGCTAAACACTGAAGGGTTTGAATCATTTTCTCTAGTTAGCGTTTTTTTAACGAGTTAGTTTTCTACGGGATATAGTCGCTCAGCCCTTGCTCAACCCTACTCCTATACCCGGGCTTGGAACAGGCAGTAACTCTAGAAAACCTACAGGTGGAGTGTAGATATAAGAACGTTATGGAAACTTCTCCAACACTATGGAGTTCTTGAGAAGACTGTCAACATTATCCGGAACTTATAAGACGGACTACAGTGCAAGGTCGTGCATGAAGGACAGATGACAGATGCATTCCAAGTAAGAATCGGAGTCAGACAAGGTTGTCTACTCTCTACCTTCCTCTTTCTTCTGGTGTTCGACTGGATTACGAAGACCTCGACATCTGAGGGAAAACACGGGATACAATGGACAGCTCAGAAGCAATTAGACGATTTGGACTTTTCAGATGACCTAGCCCTCCTATCTCATGCACATGAACAAATGCAGATAAAGACAGCCAGTGTAGCAGCAGTCTCTGCATCACTAGGCCTCAACATACATAAGGGAAAAAACCAAGGTCCTCAAATACAACACGGAGAACAGCAATCCAATCACTCTTGATGGCGAAACACTGGAAGATCTAGGATCCTTCACACACCTGGGAAGCATCATCGGTAAACGAGGAGGATCAAAAGCAGACGTAAAGGTGAGGATTGGCAAAGCAAGGGCCGCATTCCTACAATTGAAGAACACATGTAACTCAACACAACTTTCAACCAATATAAAAGTCAGAATCTTCAATACCAATGTTAAGACAGTTCTACTGTATGGAGCTGAAACTTCGAGAACTAATACAACCATCATCAAGAAGGTACAAGTATTTATAAACAGTTGCCTACGCAAGATACTTAGCATCCATTGGGCGGATACCATCAGCAACAGCCTTCTGTGGGAGAGAACAAACCAGCTTCTAGCTGAAGAGGAAATTAAGAAAAGACGATGGAAATGGATAGGACATACACTACACGAATCACCAAACTGTATCACGAGGCAAGCTCTAACTTGGAATCCCTAAGGGAATCGGAAAAGAGGAGTGTCAAAGAACACATTACGTCGGGAAATAGAATCAGATATGAAAAGGATGAATAACAACTGGAAAGAGCTGGAAAGGATTGCTTGGGACAGGCCTGGATGGAGAATGCTGGGGAGCGGCCTATGCTTCTTCACGAGGAGTAACAGGCTGAGAGTCTGTCTAACTTTGTAGGTGTTAATTTATACTTTTTTGACTAGAACAACTTGTTTAACACCATTACTACTTATTTGGTGGCTGTATTATACTCTTAAGGTACAGATTGTTGAGATTATCTGGAATATGTTATCAATCCTACTTAAACATCTGGCTAATTGAAAAAAAACATTGTGATTATACCAATTAAAGATATAGGGGATTTCTTTTTGATAATTATTCATAGTTTTTATTTAGGCTATGTTATTGTCACAGGAATTGCATTAACGCTGGTTCTTTAGTTCAATTTTTTTAGAGATATGGACCTGAACTATCTGGTCTTTTGTTGCTATGAATAAATCAATTAGCTCAAAATGTGTTTCAGATCAATCATTATTACACTCCAACTTAAATAGGTCGGCTATTACATTTGTTAGTGGGAATTATTTCCCTTTATGTTTTCAACTGACATCTTTTTATCGAAAATTTATTCAGAAAAACTCCATTTCAAAGTTTTGAAAATTAATGTCGTAGTAGGATTCGAGGAAGTTCTTTAGAAATAATGTCAATCTGTTTGGTTCGGTGTAAATTGATACACAAAAGCTGATTTTATTCTAAATTGTGAAATATCTTCTTGTTCAGCATATCACTTTCTTAATACTGTTGATTGATTACTAGTTAGCGACCAATGTTCTTCTTCATCAATCTTTTGATGCAGCTGATCACCTCGATGACTTTACATAATATCCAATATGTTAAGGTGTTTGGTAGTTGAAGTTAACTGTGATTTCTTGTCCATCACTTCCTTATGTATAAACTCTTTAAACGTTTATTTGTACATTATCTCTTGTTCATGAGTTCACTGAGTTCGTTATTATGAAGAATAAGAAACATTTCATGAACTTTAGATAAGTTACAGAAGATATTTGGAATTTGGTTAGAATATTCATAATAATGATAGTGCTAATAATCAGAATCAAGGTCATGATTAAATAACAAATGTATTTAAGGACAAAAGTAAAATGAAATTGAAAAAAGTTTTCTAATTTTCATTTTTCCTCAAATTCGCCAATTTATTTTCTTAACCTACTGTATTGTTTATATGACTTAATTTTGATTGATAGGAACAAATTTAATAACATAAGAGTATAAAAACACATGTAAAAATGTACAGATAGATTTTCGGTTGGTTTGTCGATTATTTACAAAACATTAGGTTATTAAACAATCAGTGGAATAATACAATATGTGAGATAAATAGTCATAAATACTATATCTGTTATTCATTTTGTTCAATCCAATGTTATTACCATGTTTAGTTAGTACAGAATTAAATATAATCAGACCAGGTTTATAATTACATCATATTTAAACTTAAACATTACAATAAAACGAATACAAATGTGTCTATACATGGTATTTTTCATGATCCACAATAAAAATGACCGTTAGTTGAGTTAAAAGTGTTAGTCTAATAATTAATATTGGAGCATGTCAATATTAATAATATATCGGTTGAGATACAATCTATTAGTCTGTAATACCTGCATTTTAGGGACAGAAAGTCTTTTCATATACATGGCTCTTGAATGTTAGCGCTTAAAATAGATTTTGGTAATTAAAAATAGGGACTCCATGAGATAACATGTGTCATTGCTTCTCTATTTCAGTAAAATGAAATTCTATATTTTGCTAAATATATAAAGACTTTTAGTTACTAGTTATTTTTATTTTCACTTGGTGGGTATGGTGATTGACATTTATTGGAGATAATATTTTATTTCGTTCCTTTCAGTCTGTACTTTTTTAATGAACTCCAATGCTTCATATATTGATATTTTAATATTTTAACGATCATTTCTGAACATGAATCGGATGTTTTATTTTTTTACAGTTATATTTATTTTTTATTGAAGTAGGCATTTTTTAAAATATCATAGATAGACTTCCTAGCTTAGTGGTTTACATACTTAAATTTAAAGACAAAAATGTATGTTCAGTTTAAGGATCAAAATCTATCTTCACTTTTGAACTGGTTTACTGAATTGATTAACACTATCGATTTTAACATATTGTTATGAAAAATTGTTCGGTGAACTGAGTTAATTTGAAGCATTGCTAATGGTACCAGAATAGGAAAATATGAAGTTCTTGTAAATGCCATTTAAACATTTCATGTAATAAAGAGTATATGCTACAGTTGACTTACGAACGAACTGAAGGTTACAGCCTAATACTTTCTGATTCTTAGTAGTTCTTCAATCACTGTTAGTTTATAATGAAATTTATTTTCGAAGTTCATATTTTTATCATCCACTTTATTACAAAAACTTATTATCGATTTACACCACAACACACAATTTCCAATAAGTGTAACTAATGACAAACGTTTAGTTCATAGTGTACCCAATTCTAATAAAATAGATATAATTTTCTATCCTCAAAAAATTCCTACTGATTTTTTCAAAATGTTCTTAATGTTCATTAAGAACTATCAAAACCTATGACTTACAACATATTTGATTTATGAATTTTCTAGTTCACTGTCAAAATAATATAAATCACTTTTTTATACAAAACTATTCTGAGCAAAGACGGATGGTGGCTAGAAAGGGAATCCAAGATACGCGTTTCATCCTATTTGGGAATCATCAGCTGGATGTACCTGCGTTCCAGAGTCGATGTTCACTCCGGGACTCAAGTACACAATACCAAGTGAATTTAAAACAATTCTGAATTTTAATATTCCTATTATCAGATTAGTAATTATTGAAAATGTCAACGCAATTTAGTTTTTACTCTGGGACACTTTTTTTCTTTCCTAATCCATCTTTCAACTTATTGTTTCTTTGATTAAGACAAAAAACTAATTTCGGAAATATTTAGCATAGTCAAAAATAGATTATGAATTGTAGATAGGTATTTGACATGCCATACATAATGTGACAATATTTAAAATATTATACTGACAATAGATCAGATACATGATTGAAATACATATATATACGTAAGTATAATATAAAAATTTATTAATCTAATATGTACAGCTTGTTTGGCGTACTGCAGTGTCATAAAAGTCAATTAACTATGTGACTTTTTCATTATCTATCAAATTACTAGTCAGGTAACTAGTTTAAAAGTGTAAAAATATGTCATAACTGACAAAAGAGACCAAATGATATGTTAGTGAAGCTCATCTCTAAGTCAGTGATTAATCGTTTATTTAAAAGAGGAGTGAAAAACATTTTATCGAATCTGAAGATAATATCTGTGATGACCAAGTATATTGCAAGCAAATTAGTTTTTCGACAACTGACAATATAATCTGAATTTTACAATTAAATACTTCGAAACATTTTTCAGATCATTAGCCTAGATTATTAATTATGTTTTTCAATTATTATGGAAAACCGTATCAAACGTTATTGTTTTTTTCAAACAGCATTCTACATATTTGACTAATTTACCAGGAGATATTTCCAGTAGTTAATATTCAAATGTTTAATAAAAAATAACGAAATGATAGTCAATATTTTAACATTTGTAAAAACAGGTTTAATGAATACCTATAATCCTCATAAATACCTAAAATGAGACAGATATGCCTCAATTCATCAGATGATAGCCATACACAGATGTGAATTAAATGGAATTAGAAGTATAACTCAACATATTTTAAACGGCTGGTATTAAAGTATAGAGTTCGTCACACACACAGCATGAAGATGATGCATCTTAAATGATGTGAAAATATAAGATCCTATTCGCAGCCATTGTCAATTTACAAATGTAGATAATATCATGAGATCAGTTAAGGAAGGTAAGGCTTTATACTTCCAGAACCTGATCATTTCAGCTATTTATATCAACAACAGTTAAAATCAAAATCCTTTCAACAAAGGAGGAGGATATGTATGTTTAGTTCCTATAATTTCTCTTAATACGACTTAGTCGCTCTTGTTGTTTAGCATTGTTGGACAATACTTCATTCGACAAGTCCTCAAATCAAAACAAGGTTGAACAGGAACGTAATTGTGTTCCTGATAATTGAGGTTGAATGAAAGTATACAGTTTTCTTCAAGGATCCGCTGGCGCCGACAAACTAAAAAATGGACAATCAGCGTGCCCCAACACAATCCTGCACGGAACATGCCTTAAACTAATCTATATCCAGCTAACACCAGTTGTTATAACGAATCAGCCATTCACTATGCCTAACTAAATAATCCTACTTTATGTGAAAAAAATTGTTCAATAATTAAGTGTGAAAAACATTATTTCAGTAGATCATCACTTTCAGCATCTCCGTCAACTCTACTCATTCATAGAATTCAAAACAAGAATAAGTAGTATTTAATTTTAATTCTTTTTCAAATAAAATTTTGTAATACTACAGATTGAACAGCAACTTATGCTTATCAGTTGAATCAGTTAGAAAGAAAAAAAACTAATAAATCACACGGCTGACTGCTTTCTATCATTGGTTTTATTCATATCTCTTTCTTTTGGATTGTCTATTTCATTAGACAAGACCAATATGTGTTTGTTAAAATTAGTGATCATATTTATTGAACACGTATTAATACACGTCAAGTATCCTCCCCTTTGTTTTATAAAATTCCTGTTGGTTGTCTGTATATACTACTTACAACCATTTTGTTATTGGAATAAGATTTTTTACTGAGAACATAATGATCATTTCTGTTTTCTATCTAATTGTTATTGGTTTTCCTATGACTGAGTAACACTACTGTTATGTTTTTTTTTCAGTAAATCTATTCTTTGTACTAGACAGAAAATAAAACATTGATTTAAAATTTTAAAAATTTATTAGTTTCTTACTTCGTTTTTATTGAATGGTTGACGCCCATCATCCTGTTTAGGTTTGTAGCTTCTTTCGCGTTTAAATGTGAAAGTAAAAGTTTAGGCAAAGAAATACGATTATGGATACTTATCTTTTAGCGTTTTCCGTGAATGAAAAATATAAGAGAAAAGTAATGAGAAATATTGTTTAGAAAAAAATGCAAACCGGAAATCATTATTAACAATCTTAAAAAATACCCAACATAAACCTAGTGATCTCTATTCAATAATTAAAACAAGGGTTGACATATAAACGTAGTTGAACAGCAAATAAACAATACTGCATTCTGTTAATACATTTATCATTCTAGTTATACATAGAAAAGCTTTTAAGGGGAAAATGTATTTTCTTTTAAAATGCTCAATTTGATGTCATCCATTATTCATTTTAACATAATTTAATTTCAATGGAAATATTGAGAGCATGGTTTTACATGGCTGAATTTGATCTATATCAGTGATGTTACTGTCCAGTAATCATATCTCAATTTGATTAGCCATCAGTAAGGACTAGATAACATGATAGTTAGTTGTATTTATTGACCTATTAGTGAGACTATTTTAGTCCTGAGTATCAGTCGTGATTTGAATATCTCAGTAGTAGTATTTATGACTCTGGAGTTGAGCGAAGTGTGTTAGAATCTCTGATAAAACATCAGCTCTTATGTGAGTTCAGATGAATGCCATCCAATTGGAAACGTAGATTCAAGGTTTCCTGTAGATTGGCTGAGACTTAGTTCAGTTATCTGCTTCAAGGCACGGTTATATTCAAACTAAAATGAAATATTAATCATTGGGACTGAAGTTTCAATATGGAAAATATGTTTCTTCTTGAAATTTTACCGGTCAATGTTTTGTGTACATTTCATGAAGTTTTTAGATTTTATTTTCGGTTCACTAAAATATCTGTCATAAAACAATTTCACACTGAAGTAGTGAAATTTTGGTTGACTACATTTATATTTAACACAAAATGTTATTTAACACACTTCTGAGATAAATTTTCATCAGGACTTCCAAAATCAATTTAATTCAAGTGTGAGCCTTTTCATTTTCTTAATGGTGGATGACATATTAAGATGCTATTTAATGTAATTGTTTTTCTTTTGGAACTTACTGACTTGTACGGTTAGTTTCATCTTTGAGCATTTTACTTCTTTTTTTGTTCATATTCCATAAAGTTTAATGATGAGACCAATTTTGTTCACGTTTTTGACATTTTGCTTAAGATGATATGGTTTATTGTATTTTAATAGTCATATGTACTTATGAATTGTATTTCGAAAAAAATTTTTTATAGGACAATAATCTTGTACGACATTTGGATGCATGTGAAACAATGGGTAATGCAACAGCTATCTGTTCTGACAAAACAGGCACTTTAACAACAAATCGTATGACGGTTGTTCAATGTTATTTTGGTGAGAAATTAACCCAAAACACTGATCAATTACCAAAATTGAAAGATTTAAATCATAGAATTGGACACAGATTTGTGCATGGTGTCGCAATTAACAGTAGTTATACATCACGTGTGATTGTAAGGGATTTTTCAGTTTATTAATATTATTATTTTTAATGAGGATATTAAATGATAAATTATTTTTCCGAAAAAATATCAGAATTTCTGTGAGAAAAAAGTTTTGGAATAAAGCAATTCAGCATTGAGTTGCTTTAAATTTAATTTTTGCAATCACTTCCATCAGCAACTGACAGAGTAAATCAGAATGGGGATTTGTAGAGATTGTAGTAATATTAGCAGCTAAATTCATAAGTAAATCTAAGCTAGACCGCGTATGAGATAGTGATTATAAACTGCTGTGTAGATTCATACTAGGACGAAATGAATGTCCAGTGCTTTACGGTTTTCAATGGTGGTCTAACCTAGATCGATTTATGAATTCAACTGTTAAGATAATATTGTGGTGTATGCTACTTATATCGACAGATATATCACCAGTATCACTAGTCGAAAGTGAAATGCCTGGAGGTTGGAGTTTAAAAAATCGAAGAGAAGAGAACGAGAACAGAGAATGATTGGTGTGCAAACTAAGGAACAGTCACGTCTAAGACAATTAACAGACATTTGGCAAATGCAGTATTTATTGTATGGTTCTCGGATTTTACTAAGAGATTCTGTAATTTTGTGTTGAAATACATTTGGTTGTCCCCATTAGTGTTCTCGTTCACTACAGTATATAAAAATTATGCCTATGTTAAGCACCATAATTATGGATCTATGTATGAAATTGGTTAACGATTACTCCAGATACAAGAGAGTATCAAAAAACGACCTAACAATGTATGTTCTTGAAAGTCTTCACCATTCAGTCAATGGAGAAACATCGTAAGATAGTGACCAACTAATTTATTGCAAATACACAAAAAGAAAATCCTTTTATTTGCAATTGGTTATCTAAGTCAACCAAATACCAATAATGAAACTACTTTGTAGTAGTAAACAAGAGTTGGTCGGAATTAGTACACAATAAATTCATCAATAATTCTGTCTCATTAAGTAAAATTCATTTTTACTTGAAAAAAAAAGTTTTTTCTGAACAAAAAGAAATTTGCCTAATATATTTTCTGTTTTTTTCAAAATACTCGTATTATTGTCTTAGATTCCAGACAAACCAGGTGAATTACCACAACAACTGGGAAATAAAACTGAATGTGCTTTGCTTGGATTTGTACGCCATTTAGGCGTAAATTATGAGGACATACGAGAACGGTGGCCACAAGAAAGTTTAGTGAAAGTATTCACATTCAATTCTTTACGAAAGTCAATGAGTACAGTGATTAAAAACTTGGAACCTGATAGGCCAGGTTATACTGTTTTCACTAAAGGTGCTTCCGAAATGGTTTTAAAAAAGTAAGTTATGAAATCAGGCACATTTTTAACTGAATAATTACTATTTGATTATTTGTAAATTTTTTTTAATATCTAAAAGAATGTGACTTTACAAATGGTTTTATTTTTGTGATTATAATCCGTGAGATGTCTTACTAATCTTTCATTTTACCAACTTATAACTTTAATATCGAACGGTAATTATTAGAATTTGTTAGACAACACTGATTAATCATTCACTGAAAGAAGTAAAGTTTCTGATTTCGCTTCTTTATAAGAGCGAATCAATGGTCAAAGGTTTAAAATAGTATCCTCTGTTGTGGTCAATTTGTAACGAGTGTCATTAACAAGATAATTTGATAGTAGTTAATTGCATTTTAAAACCACAATAAACTGGGGTATTTGTTGTATGTATGCCATAATTATTTTGCCTATTTAAAATAATAGTAATCCTGAAGTTGATTTGAGGGCTTATTCTCCCATTAAAATTTCAGATGTAGTTTCATCCTGGATGCTAATGGTGAACCTAAACCATTTAGTAAATCTCATCAAGATAATTTAGTTCGAGATGTAATTGAACAAATGGCTAGTGATGGACTACGTACCATAGGTATTGCATACAAAAGTTATATAGATCCTAGTAAGTTATATTTTATTAGTCTATTTTTATTTAAGAATTCGATTTCTTAATGATTTTATTCCATTCGATATAATGTTTATTTGTAACTAGAATTATTGAAAAGGGTGTCTAAAGCTATTTAAAAATTAAACATGCATATTATTTGTGCTTTATAAGGTAAAACGTTGTCCGTCTTTCATTTACTCTGGTAGTAAGACATTTCTTTATAATATTACATTGGACATATTCGAAATAGGTATTCATTGTAAATTTGTAAATGTTATAGACAATAGAGTAATAACGACAAAAATACTAAATCATATCTAGGTTGGTCTGCATTTGCTATCATTTTTAAAGTGCTTCCAGGTTTTCCGTAGTGGTCTAGCTTTAAATGATTCATGAATTCAACTATTAAATTTTAAAGCTTATTAACAAATATGTAGACATAGCTGTACAACAGAATCGAATAAGAAGGGTGTATGAAAGTGTGTAAAAGTCAAAATTATTGTCAAGGATGAATACATATGGGCGAAATGATTTTACAGAAGCTTTCATCTTAATCACTGGGTATTCGCATGCATTCACAGTGATTTGAGCAATTAGTGAGTTATAAGCGACGCAGGATTTGTCACAATTCATATCAGGACAGTTACATGGGTTTATCAGGACTGTGAAAACGAAGTCAAGCTGAAGTGAGAAATTAACTGTCGGCCATTTGGTTAGAAAATGGGATCTGAATTTTAGTGCGAGAAATATGAAATAACTGTTAACTAAGTATTCCAAAGCGAGATAATATACATGTTACATTTATGGTCTCTCATCAACACCCAATAACTTTTCGAAGTGATGACGTGTACTATTTTGGTAGCTCTTATTCTTTGTTAAATTACACTTCATACCACATGGTATTGAACTTCAGGGTAGATATTGATTAAAAATGCAAAACGTATTTACCACCCACCTTAGTTAACGAAGTTTATTTTTCTACCTAATACCGTATGCCATGCTTCGTTGTTATCTTTTCGGTTGTCATTTTTTTAAAAACAACTTTTATAAAGTAACTGCTTTTTGTAGAAAACCTGGGTACTCAGCGATAGTTTTTTCGTCATAAAATTGTGGACTATATTTATGTTTTTTGCTTCATTGATAGACATCTTAAAAATGTTATGCATAGTTTAGGATGAAAAATGCAAGAAGGCTTTTAGTCCAACCTGTTGTTTGAAACTGATGTTAATGGAGCAAGGATTGAACCATTTGTTCCAATTACTCTTTTTCAAAAGCTTGGATATATTTCTGAAACGTCCGTTTATTTTAAAACGATTTACGTTACGAAACAAATTTTGTTGAGAAAGTAATAAAGAGTTGTTACCTCTTAGTATAGAACTTCTCAGTATTGCAAATTCTCGATCTCGCAAGGAATCAAACCGTAAGCTTCATATTGAGCACTCTGACTTGAAGTCGTATTGAAGGATTGATATTTCCAAATGTATTAGATTTATTATATTGTTCGACTGGGATTCACTACCAGTTGCAATAACTATCTCACTCTGTACATCACTGAACCTCATAACCATGATGTAAAAGATTCACACTAATCACTCGTCCAAATGATTTTCAGATAACAAATTATCACCGAACTTGAATAGAATGACAATTTATAAAAATTTATAGGCCATAGAATAATTTTCAACAAACTCCGTGATAATGGTTGATTGATTAAAAAGAAAACTACTATTCAGTTTATTTCATTCACATAATGTAGTTACTTGTTTTGAATGCCGACTTCATAAGTGACAAAAATAATAACTTAATATTTTAAATGGCTTATTTCTTAAGTTTTAGAAAATTTTGTAAAACATATTTGATTTCTTTTTTCAAACAGATGAGATTAAAACACAGACAACAAACATAATTACAATCGAATAATATAGAACTGTGAAAAATATCTTCAAATAGGTTAAGGATATAATTATAGTTTGGCTTAATTTGATGAGACAATGTTTGTTTTTTATAAAATGAAGTCTCGATCTACAGACAATCATCATTAAATTTTAATAATTTTGTTAATGAATTGTTGTAAACTCAGAGAAGATTGAGAATAAAAATGAGCGGAATAAGCGAAAAACTGATACACTTATTAAATACACTTTGTACATCATTTTAGCTAGATAAATTAACAGACATTCTTCCTTTTATCATTTGTCAATTTGGACAATTGAAAAAGATACAGTTTTTATAAACTGCTATGAGTATTGTGTGCTTAGTGTCATGTAAATCGTGTTTCATTAACTTTAGCAACGTGCGAATATGAACTACATGCAAATGATAATGTTATATCTTATGACCCTTGTGCTCTGTTAATATATCAGGCGATACTAACCACAGACTTATTGATCAGGCCAAAGATGCATAAACCATTACGAGCAGCCTAAAGTTCTTATTGATCCTTGAGATAGCAGCTTTTCGTCTAATCCAGCCGATTCAGTCCAGGACGCAAATATTAGCCTCCATCACATCGAATCATATGTTTTAGAACATACTTGGTTTACATACAAGTAAATTCAGACCACATCACACCATAAAATATAAAATAACTATAGTGCAAGATCAAGCCAAACGTGGCTGTGATTGTGAGAAACTGTGACTAATAGATTGAGAATAAGTTGAGAATAGAAAGACATATAACAATAAGCAATAGATCAAATAAAAGCTTATAATAAGAGAAATACAAAGATATATGGTTTAGTTTCTTACCAGTTAAACGATAAGAATATATGTACAATATCAATCCATAGATAATTCTCAGACGTTACCCATAATTTAATTTTCTCTAGGATATAACAGATACAAATGTAGTCTTATAATAACAATGTTGCATGGTTTGTTTCAATCGATGACTAAGAAAAATATGTGCATATTGTGTTTTATTGAATTAAACAAGTGTAAAATAAAAGTGAATAACTAATATTGACAGCTTGATATCATATCATATTCTAAATTCATAATTGAAAATATCTAAACTTATCGTCTTATATGCAGCGTAGCAATATGAAACAAAATATCATAGATTAATTTTTTCCTATAAATATTAGAGTTTTTTCTCTATTGAACATAATGAATTGGATGAAATCTTCAGTGGTTCACTAGCTCATGTATCTATATCAATCAAATTTTGAAACCTATCTGTACTATAAGATAAGAAAACAAATTCTGTTTTCAATAATAGTCTTTAATCTTTTTTAATCAACGAATAATGATTCTTGATGACAGAAATAGAAGATTACAATTCATGTAATATTTGATTATATAGAATAAATTAATACAAAAAATTATGTTAAATACTTCTTTTAAAAATTTTCAAGTATTTGTATTCTTAATTAATTAGGATTAATGTTTAAAGTATTGACATGGATTGTTTTATTCTTTATTTTTATAAAAGCTGTCGGGCTATTTTCGAATGAGGTTCCTCTAAATCGTGGACAGACACCTGATTTTGATGATGAAGATACTATCGTCTCTGATTTAACATGTATTGGAATAGTCGGAATTGAAGATCCTGTACGACCAGAGGTTCCTGCAGCTATAAGAAAGTGTCAACGCGCTGGGATCACTGTACGTATGGTAACCGGTGATAATGTTAACACAGCGAGATCGATAGCTGCTAAGTGCGGCATTCTTAAGCCAGGTGATAACTATATTGTGTTGGAAGGAAAAGATTCAATGCCCGTGTACGTGATCCCCGTACAAATCGTGTTCGACAAGATCTAATGGATCAAGTATGGCCACAGTTAAGGGTTCTTGCACGTTCTTCACCACAGGATAAATATACTTTAGTAAGTGGGATTATAGACAGTCATATTTCAACTCGTCGTGAAGTTGTTGCTGTAACTGGAGATGGCACAAATGATGGACCTGCATTGAAAAAGGCTGATGTTGGTTTCGCTATGGGTATAGCAGGAACAGATGTTGCAAAAGAAGCTTCAGATATTATATTAACAGATGATAACTTTACAAGTATCGTTAAAGCTGTTATGTGGGGAAGAAATGTATATGATTCTATTTCGAAGTTTCTTCAATTTCAACTAACTGTTAACATGGTTGCTATTATAGTTGCTTTTGTTGGTGCATGTCTAATAACTGTAAGTTAAATAAGAAATATTTTTAGATATAAATTTAGATTTAATCTATGTTGGACCGGTAAATAATTGTTTTTATTCACTATTAAATTGGTATTTATTGGCAAGAAACATTCATTGAGATGTTTATATTTGATCATTAACAAAGATAATAAATAAACTATCTAAATTTCCTTTCAATAATTTCCAAAGAAAAAAAAAAGCATAGTTCTAGCTGTCTTTAAATTATTGTATAAATAGGTTACATCCATAATATAATCTAAGATGAAATTTAATTCCTTTGGCCTTATTTCAAGTAATTAATTAATAAGGTTACAGATGTAGAAAGAAAAAATAGAATCAAATATGGATACATCGTAAATTAAATTAGGAAATCATTCGATATTCAATATGAGAATGTAATTTTGGAAAGAAGAAGAAAGAAAAACACTTTGAACTCATATTCAATGATACTTTAGAAAAGAAAATTATTTAACTCTTAAAATATTGATATCTTGACAAATTAGTAGAATGTTTAAAATCAACATCGATGATGTATAATAAAGGAATATAACATATAGTTAAGGTACATATTTATATGGAATAAACATAGTTGAAATGATGGTTTTGTTGTTTAGTTTCATTCAAAGAATTTATTTAAATTTTAACAAATTAAATGATAAAAAGTATAAATACAAGATGTTATTTAAGTGAAGCATATTTCAGAGATATAATCTTAAATTGTAATGCGCAGTTTACTCAAAAAATCTTATTTTTTTATATAATGTCCTGAAATATCGAAATAATGTATTACCATTTACTAAGAAAAAAATAACTTCAACGTTACCAATGTTGTTCTTAGTTTAATAGTTTAATTCATGAGTCGATGTTAGCAAGACCACCATTGAAAACCTGGAAGTACTGGACGGTCATTTTGTCCTAGTATGTAACTACTCAGCGGTGCACATCCACACGTGATACTCGAACCAAAGACCTTCAGTTTAGCGCTCAAACTCGAACTGGGTTAGGACCTAAAGGTGTTAATGTCTAACTTCAGCCGATCCATGATCTTGCTCAACCATCCATACATTGTCTGAAGTAAATACTTGTCTCTACCTGACACAGATTAGACTCCACTGGTTACAACCCTTTGTCTGAGGTATAAAGCTGTCTCATGAAGTCAACTATTAAAATCACTACAATCCCCACAAACTCCTATTCTATTAACATTGTTTTAACTAAATATTTGGATATTTCATGTTATCCTCTGTAGTATATTGAGCAATATTTTATTAACTTGAAGAGATATAAGTTACCATGTGTTATTACTTAACTTGAGCTAGTCACTTAATTTTATTGTAATGTAGAAGTATAAGTGGTATCACAAGATGAAATCTTATGAAGCATGGAGTTTATTACGATATCTTGAAGATTTTGAATCATAAATACAGAATTCAGTGTAGAAAAAAGTAAAATGTATAATAGAACTATGTATCCAATTCTTTGGGCATAAAAAACAAGATTTTAAAACTCCATACATTTTGATTATTTTCATGTTAATTGTATATGATAAAAGATAAACAGTTAAAACTATTGTACAGTGAATAACAGTACTAAATTTGGAATAATTAGAAAAATTTAATGGTTGCGCAGAAGATACTACATTTTAAAAATTTCATGTTAACCTAACAAATCATAAAACATAGTAAACAAAATATTTTTCACCAAAAAAAAAGAAAACATAAATTATCCGTTTTGCAAAGAAATAAAAAGAACTATGTAACCAAGAAAGAAGAAATGAATACCATCATTAAAATATGTTTTTCAGGTCTATCGTCAACATTTATAGCATCCTTAATATTAAGAGACGTAAGTATCAAGCTCGTATAAAAGCTGCTTAAAGATTTCAGTCAAATTATCGAAATTATTTAAAATCGGAGTAGCCCATGAACACATAGAATCGTCACATTATCTATTCTGTGAATTAAAAGATCGGTTAAAATGAAAATGGTTATTATTTTAAAGTTAGCTATAACAGTCGGTGTGGTGTGTGCTACTGATGTCAACAGATATAAGTAGTATGTATCACCAATCGAAAGTGGAATACCTGAAGGCCGGAGGTTAAGAAAATCTAAGAGAAGAAAACGGCAACAAAGAATGATTGGTGCGCAAACGAAGGAACAGTTAAATCTGAGATAATTGATTGACATTTTGCAAATAAGGAATTTATTGTATGGTCCTCAGATTTTAATAAGAGATTCTGGTTGTCCCCACCAGTGTTCTCACTCACTATATCAGTACCGACGTTTTTTATTCACATGATTAGGCATTGATAATTATTTTTCTTCATGTCAGTATACTAAGATATTTCTAAAATGTAATTCAAATGTGAAAAATTGAAATCGTGAATATGCGAGACACAAAGCGGATCAATGATAATTCAGAGGTTTGACATTTGACTCACTTTAGATCGTTAGATGTATCAACACAGTCTTCGTTTATTAACGAAACGGAAGAGTGGTTGGCAACTATACACTTATAGAATACATTTTTAAAATATCAGTACTAATATAATTAGTATTTCAACTCTATCAAATCGTAAATCGATAGGAAAAGTTGTAAGGCAGTTGGAGAGAATCGACGGTGGATATTCAACTTCCTGTTTGTCTCATGTAATTAAAAAATACTGGCAGACGTAAGTATACCAATCAGAATCAAGATAAGTCCTCAAGTACTCTACGCGAAATTTAAAGTACAGTGATAGATAACTTGTATGTTATTAATAGCCAGATGAAAAGCGATAATAATTGATTCTTTGAATACTCGGGATCAATAAAATGTCTATGATATAATCAAAATGTGGTTCTGAGATGGTTCTTAAACTAGATGACAAAACGTACCTAGTATTAGTGTCTAAGTAGTTAGTTTGATTTAATGCGTAGTTAAGAGTGTTTAGTGAACTTAACTCTTTATAAAATTCCAACCTTAAGTTTCTAAAGTCTGTAAACAGAAGGGTTGCTGAGCATTTCATTATGACAAATGTCAGTCTGGAATGAAAACTCCAACTCTAATTTGTGAACCCAACTCAAAACTCCAGCCTTTACTTTAAAGAATAGTTTGCAATATGATGGTTAATGGTTCAGATCAGATCTGTTATTCCCCAGTTATTTTTTTGCTTTTGGTTGTTAATTGTTTTATTTAGCATTGCCTGATTGGTTGATAGCTTATCCAAGATTATCAGCATATTATACTCTTACTATTTGTGCCTATAATGTAGTTGAGAAAAATAAGAAAAACGTCTTCAATGAATGTAAAACGATTAGAAGCTATATCTTCAGATACATATTTTTTAAAAATACATACTTCTGCTGTTTTGATGATATGCATACTTACAAAGAAGATGAAAGAAATATTTTTGCAAATTAAATGAAGTTATTATACTTATATGGAAGCTATATCTTATGTTCATTTGAGAGTTTAATCAACTAGTTTGTTATATGGTTTAAATAAATAATTATTTTTTATAATTACATTTTCATTGTCCACTAAACAGGATAGCCCACTTAAAGCTGTTCAAATGTTATGGGTCAATCTAATCATGGATACTTTGGCGTCATTAGCCTTGGCGACCGAAATACCAACAGAAGAGTTACTTGAACGAGCTCCATATGGTAGAACAAAGCCTATTATCAGTCGTAATATGATTAAAAATATCATCGGGCAGTCTATTTATCAACTAAGTGTTATTTTCTTTCTAATATGGTTCGGTATGTCAAGCACTTGCTTATTAACTATTGTTTAATTTTTGAAATTATATTTATTTTAAATCTGGTTACAATAACGACAAATCAAAATAGTACTTTTTTCTAAACTATGAATTCGAGTATATTTCGTCTGTTGCACTTATATTACTTAATAAATTTTGAGTAGATAAACATCGAGATGAAATAAAGCCATGAAGTTTCATTTTATAAAACAGATTGTAATACCAAGTTATTGGATTAATAAACTATTACGCATAAATTTTTAGATGCTTGTTGTTGGGGTACTTTGAAATTAACAACGTAAATTTTATTTGTAATGCAGATATTAATATTCGTCAAATGTGTTCTGTTTCCCATTGTTAAATTACTTTCTGAATAAGTTAATCTTTATCACATTTTAGTAAAAAAATTGCCGACGTACTCTCCCAATTTCACTTTTCGTTTCAAGTGACTGCCTTTCAATTATTTAATGGGTCGCATCAATAGAGTTTTTTTTGCAGTACATGTGTTTATGAATAGGGAAAATAAAATGATTTATCCAGTATTTCAGAGCTCCAAACAAAATGTATCGTAACTTATGGTCAAGCCTCATCATATATATATATATATATATATATATATATATATATATATAAAGTTTCTTCGAATCTACTTCTTATCATAAATATTTGCATTTAGTTAATCATTTTAGGCTCATGACAATCAATCAACAAGCAGATAAACAATAAGATATTGCTCGACTGTCCATCATTTTTTTCAGTGAGTAACTGCCTCATAACAGACACGTTTGAACTCCACTGGTCACGGCTTCTTACCAGAACTCCAGGAAACGCTGTTGTAAGTGAGGTAGTTACTTACTGAAGACGATAGTGGACGGTCGCTCAATTTCATGGATTGGTTGAAGTGAGACATTAACAACGTTGGATCGCGACCCCATGGCCTGGAGGTTAAGCGTTCGTGCGCAAAGCCGAAGGTCCTCGGTTTGAGTCCGGCGTGCGGTTTCGTAGATGAGCACTACCGAGGAATCCCATACTAGGACGAAATGCCCGTCCACTGTTTCCAGGTTTCCAATGGTAGTCTAGCTTACATCGACTCATAAATTCAACCATTAAATTAATACAATCTCTACAAACCCCCATTTAGATATGCGACATATTTACTTGACAAAGATTTGATTCTAGCTGCTTATGTAAATTTTCTTAGTACTCCATTAACTATACTTTGTTAGATATGACAGTAATACGAGATAAGGTATAAATGGTCATTAATAGTAAATTTAGTGTAGTTGTGTAATTTGGTCACTAATTGTGACTATGTGAGACGTGAAAGTCCTAATTTGTGATCTCATAAACAACCGATGTTAATTCACCGCATCAATTAAAAATTAATTTTGATGTTACATTTACTTGTATTCTTTATTTTATGACCATTCTTTTATTTCTTGAAACCCTTAATATTTCTGTTCTATGTGTGCTTTTTATTGTTACAATGTTTTCACCTATGTACTTTTCCTCTCAGGTGAATTACTGTTAGATGTTGAAAATGGTCGTGGTTTAAGTGCTAAAGGTATAAATCGTCCAACAGAACATTTCACTGTGATATTCAATTCATTTGTTATGATGACATTATTTAATGAGATTAATGCTAGAAAAATTCATGGACAGCGAAATATATTCTCTGGATTAACTAACAATTTATTATTTGTTATAATTTGGATTTCGACATTTATACTACAAGTAAGTTGATTCCTTCGGAGAATAAATATCAGTAAGAATGGTTTTCTTACTTAGTTGTTTACTAGGACACAGTTCTATTCTTACATTGTTACGATAATCATTTTTAAAACTGAATTTCACATACATAATTTTAATGCTCATCTAAAAAAGTATAATCCTTCATTGTTCACTATACATAATCGTCTGTCAGTGATGAATTATAATAAGGCTTTCAAGCTAGATATCTGTTTGGGGTGGTTTTTTACATAAAATCTTTAAGCAGCTTTAAGTGTATACGATCCCATTACCTCTAGATATAAAGGAATAGGTAGCTTTTTGTTTTTATACTGTTTATGATTATTTGTACCAACTTTTTCTCAGACTCGTACTAGAGTCAGAAATATAAATACTTAACTAACCATACTGCTATTAAGCGTTTTAATGAAAGAAAAAAAAACATATCAAATCAGGCAGATATAGAAAATATAACACTTGACGTGATTATCCATCAATTCAGTTAGCTTATTCATATAAGCTCAGCAAGAGTGTAGTGAACAAGAACACGAATGGAAACAATCGAACGTGTTTGAGCACAAAATTACAGAGCATCTCACTAAAATCTGAGAACCATACAGTAAATCGTTAATTTGTAAAATATCAGTCCATCGTCTCAAACTTGACTGTTCCTGTTGCAAACATCAATCCATTTCTCAGATTTGATTGTTCATGCATTTTCATACCAATTGCATTCCGTTCCCGTTCTTTCCTCATTAACCTTCCACTGAAATACATTTAATGCCTGGCCACCGTCATATACTACTTGTATGGATATAAATAACCCACACTACAGGGAAATTCGATAAGACATATAGTAAATACGTAAAAATACCAGTGATATCTATGAGATATGTATGCCAAAACGTTAATTATTAAGAAAATTTATCCTGAAAATCAACTATAAGCTAGCCATTTTCTTTGAATGTGTCGTTGAGTTGGTCTCTGCTCACTTAATAATACTTTTAAACAAAAAGAATTCAGTAATTCATTACTTCATAATAGCTTAAGTCATCAGTCATTGTGAAATAGATTTTTTATTGACATTTCTACTACTACAAAGTTAATGAAACCTATATTGCATCAAACAGTTCTCTAAAAGGGAATTCAAAATATCTTCAATTAGTCTGTTGGTTCAAATATACCTGTTTAATTCATGTTGGAAAATTTAACACTGTTTATTACTAACTTCAAAACATAGTATACTGATAATGATTGGATGATGAAATGTTTTTAATATAAAATTGTACGTCAAACATGTAAATTGAATGGATTATCAGGTTTTTTAATATGTTGATTTACAAACATTCTAAGCATCTATGAAGTAGACCAATTATTTGCCGAGTGAAATATTAAAGTGGTGTTTTATTTTGTTTATGAACGTTTCAAATAGTTACTTGCACTAATCTCATTTCAGTCATATGTGATAGCATTGGTAAAGAGATTTACAGCTAAGTAATTTATTAGATTGTTCGTTAACATTGATAAATCTGTTGATACTGTAAACTGTTGTTGTTTAATTAATATCAACTACTGACTTATTCCCTGTACTCCAATTTGCCGATTGACCAGATAAGTAAATCGTATAAAACTCATTGTTATTTTGATGCAAATTCTGAACCACTGATAAATTAGTTATGGGTTTATAGTTAACATACAAGTAGATCTTCATCGGCAGTCTTGTACTGTTTTTAACATTTAGTGATATCAGTCCTTGTTCAGTTGTATAGAGGTAAGTAACTAGTTGTATCTTCAGGATATAATAAGTAGCTAAACCAGTAGTCAATCCAGATAGAAAATTAATCACTAGAACGAAGTATAACACTGTATTGTATTTAGGTGTTTATTCATTGAAATGCATAATGTGATAAACAGTTCTATGTAAAAAAGTTTCCTTTTGATAGTAGGTATGTAAGTTTTAAAACGAAAATAAAGTTCCTTGTTTGCTAAGAGGTGTATTCACGTTGAATAAAATGAGACTATTAAAGAATTTCAGAATTTAATTAAAAACAATATTATCCTAAGGAATATGTTCATTAAACGATACTTATTACCTCTTTTCTACTCTATAATCTTAGTATGTATTCTTGAACTAAGTAATCTTGGGAACATATGGTTCATGTTAAATAATTTTCTTTCACATTACCCTTAATATTTTGGATTATATTTCACCAGAAAATTTACATCCCACTGATAAGTATTTAAGTATATTCATATTATTAATCTTAGAAATCCAAATCACGTGTTAAGTTACATCGGGTTCAGAAAACATTCAATACACCATGAATATTCAGAATTGCTACTACTTTATCTCCAGAATACTATTGCTAATAAAGAATGTATCATATATGATTTCAGAAAAGACAAAAATGGATAATGTCGAAAGCCAATTCAAAATAGATTCTTAACCGAGTTTCTGTCGATATGAGGAAGCTGACAGATATGTTTAGGCCAGAAAATGTGTTTGATTAATTTTTGACTATCGTAACCAATGGTTGGAGACTGTGAGTGACATGGCTCAGAATCGATCACAATGGCATCGGTGTATACACTCTTTGTTTTCCTTAAACTATGAGATTAAAATTATTCCATATCTTTCTTCCGACGAACTAATTCTTCCTTTCTTTACTATATCCTTACATAAAATCTTTCTTTTATATATTACACCATTGAGTTAACTGCTTCTATGAATCCAGTGTTCGTCTTGCTGTGCTAATGAGGTGTGGCAGCTTGGACTGATGCATGTTTATGTCTAGTCCTACGTTGTAAATGACTGACTGACTGAAATAATATAAAACAATCTCAATGTACTATTTACACTAACTTATTCTGTTTTTTTATTCAATATATTGAAAATAAAAGAAACATATTTAATTTTCCTCTGATCATGAACTTAATTGAAATAATATTCATTAAGAGTTTTACCATTTTGCATACTTTTTTTATCTTTCTAGGTTGTAATTATTCAGTTTGGTGGCTATGCATTTAGCACACGGCCATTAGCTTTAGAACATTGGTTATGGTGTTTATTTTTTGGAATAGGCACTCTACTCTGGGGTCAGGTTTGTTAAAAGTTTTCATTGATATTATTTTCATCATTATTATTATTTCGATAGTTTAGATCATGAGTCAATTGAAGCTAGACTACCATGGAAAACCTGGAGACACTGGACAACCGTTTCGTTCTAGTATGGAACTCCTCAGCAGTGCTAGTCCACAATCTCGCTCACGGGACTCGAACCAAAGACCTATCATTTCATTGTGGTCTAGCTTTAATTAACTCATGAATTCGACTTTTAAATTATTACAATATTCAAAAAAAACTCGTTTCTGATGTGAAAAGATGTGAGAAACAATTCATTCCGTTTTCTTTTTTCACCATTCATTATTTCTAACTCAAGGTTATTATTTCAATACCAGTATGGATAATACCAAAGAGAAGACGTAGAATAGCCAAGTCAAGACGTTTAACATTAATTGCAACACAAGATGCATTGGGAATGGAAACAGACGGTCTAGTTACTCAAGATTTTGTACATCCACAACTTGCAGATGGTGGTGTGGTGCATAGAGCTAGTACAGGTTTTGTTAGTAAAGCGGCAAATGCGGTTGCTCGTGGTTTTGGTGCAATTTATACACAACCTGAAGGTGAGGAAGAAGAGGAAGAGGAAGAGGAAGACGAAGAAGAAGATGATGAAGATAGAGAGGATATAGTTGGTGCCAATCTACGTAATACTGGCCAAATATTATGGATTCGAGGCTTATCAAGATTACAAACACAGGTACGTTTTTTTAGTAAATAAGCTATATGATATAATATGTCATTAAGTTAGTTAATCATATGCATCTAATCAATTGACAAATATATGGGTTACTTCAAGCAGTCACATAATCATCAACACAACCTCGAGAAATCTCGGAGAACTGAAAATAGTAACAGCATCAGTAGGAGTAAAAACCAACCTATATATAGGAAAAAGTATGACATTTGGGACTTATGATCTAAAGGAAGACAAGGAGTTATGTTGTGCGTGATATCTTAAAATAATTCTGATAGCAAGTGTTAGAAACACAACTACTTCATTCAAGAAAAGCGAAGTGTTCGGTGGGTGACAGAAAATCATTCATGATCTTGCTTCAGATATCACAAGGACGTTGAACGTAATTTGTTTTGCGTTGGTAGATATAACTAATCTACATTTCCAGTATTAACTTGAATATCATTATTCGCATATTTTAAGATGGGTAATATACAAATTGAAATAAACACCTTTATCTAATAAGCATATGGTTTTGCTTTGAAATAAAACTACATTCCGTAAGTCTACATTGTTATGTTCCTCTTTCAACTTGAAAAAATTTCAAGCATTCTTCTTGAAGTAAATGATCTCATTGTTTTCTGTAAAATTAAGGTACATGTATATCTCTTTTAGTATAAGATTTCCACTGCATAGTGCAGAAATACTACAGAATATATGATTTCTCGTATATTAAACATTAAATTATTTAAATATTTTTCCAGATTCTGACACATTTCATCAATATCAAACTAGTTTATTTTGATACACTTCAGGTGATAGCTGACAATAATAACAAATACCACATATTTGGGCATATTTAATTTTTTTTAAATCAGTCTATAAATGCCTTGATGTTATTACTCAGAAATATAAAGACAACCTCTATTTCATAGATTTAGATACTCTCTACATAATTACAATTGTCATGACATCTAGTTTTGACATTTGTAAACGAAATATGCTAAAAATAAATAAATTTATAAATAAACATTTTTTTATAAATACCAAATAGGTGATCAAATCATAGAGCAACCTATAAGTACTAAATCCTTCTAAGTTAATATTAATGATAATAACGTTAGTGTTTACTGTGAATTATTTTGCTTGAAAACACTTAGTAGTAGAGGGCGTTCGTTGACTACCACCTTGACTGTATGTGCGTATTTCTATGTATGAGATGAGAAAAAGCAAGGCAATACTGTGTGTATATTCATGTTTGATTGTAACCAACTGCCCCTATTGCATGAATTACGGTTTAATCTGAAAAGGAAATTGTTTGACAAATAATCATTTTCAAAAAAATCAATTCTAACGACGAAATAAAAATAAGCACTTCATGTATACTCAACTACATAATTAAATGTTAACTTATGTAAGCCAGTTGAGTTGTTCAGTAATTTTCTATACTATGTACACTTGTTGTCGTATTCTGTTGTTAAATGCACGAATTTCAAATAAAACAAGGATCAGATTATGAAAACACTATGTCTGCTTACTATTGTTTCTTTTTGTTGTTGTTTGTATTTCTTAAATGCTTACTGTACTTTGAATTTAGTTGTCTAAACATGATCACTTCATTATCATAACATAAATAAAAATGATAAATTTTTGTAAACAACATAAAATGAATTACATTCTTCTAAATATTTTCTTATATTTTCATTTTGTTTATTTTTTTGAAAACATCACTCTTACTAATGAATACATCATTACTATAATGATGATGATGATGAAATCATTTGCATAAAATAAATTGAATCTATAAAATTAAACTAATTAGTGTTGTTTCATATTCAATGTTAAATCGTTTCATATGTTGTCATATTTTTTATTTAATGTCATTTGTTTTGTTTACATTCTAATCATTTGGATTAATTTCATACACACGATGATTAGTGCATCAATCTTTGTTCTTGCTCTTTTTAACATTTGGATTAAATTAACAAAAATGTTGAAAAAGAAAACACTTTTTTTTTTCATGCTTGGTTTGTATGGTGTACATATAACACATAATAATATAAGTGAATTTTGTACAAAAAGGTATTGGTTTAGTAATTTAAAATTCTTATATCAAAATTATATGAAATATACGAAAAAAATGAAGAAAAACTAATCATCTACGCTGATATCATATAGCACACTGACTAGATTCATGGATAACCATTCTGAATTCATAACTGATATAGTTCTGTATGTATATTATAACTGTAATAGTAACGCTATATGATTGAATTAAATCATTATAGTGTTAGGATGTGTACAGATATTTTTTTCAAATTAAAAAGTTCATTAGAATTATTTCATATTTTCTGGAGAAAAAATTTTAAAAAAACAATGCTCTTAAATCAAAATTTAAATGATTCGATTCATGGAATAAATTTAAATAACAGTTTTATTTGATGTCATTAATCTCTTATTTACTATCGAACATCTATCCTTTGTAATAATGCAATGTAGAGAAATATTTTAAAAAGTTGCCAATTAAATTGACTAATTTATTGATAATTGTTCAATACTAATTTTGTAGAATCGCTTTTCTTAAAGTTCAACATTAATTTTTATCATGAATTAAGTTTGTCGTTCTCACAGGTCCTTCAGTTAGTGTTACATGATAAAATCTTTTAAAGTGGTTGTTTCCTAACTCTATTATGATCGAATTGTTAATAAAGTGAACAAAATGTATACTTTTCTCATGTTCTGTCTACAAATCCTGTCAAGAATAATGCGGATACAAATGTTATCTACAAGTGTTTCAAATGTTTATATTACTTAAATTCATTTCGTCAGACGAACGAAGGGATGAAAAACGGAGAAGCCAGATGGTCATACTTAAAGTATTACTGATAACAGATATTAGTATAACTCAAAGCAGATAATGCATATTGCAACAAGGAGACTGGCATTGGATAAAATAAGTGTACAGACACATACAACAACACATGAAACGTATAAGTGCAGAGCCACAGTAACGTGAAAATAAAAGTTATATGTACTGAAAGTCATAACTCCTTATGAATAGAATAATTATTACAAAGGTTAAAATGACTTAATAGTCACATTCTGAGCTATTCAATTCTATCCAATAGTAGGGATTTGTGTACACAATAATGTATGTGTAATAATATAGAGAAACTGCTACATTCTTGCTATTCTGTAGATTTGATGTATCCTCTATATTAATTTATACTTTGACATCAAAACAGCTTATGTTACCATTCTTTATCATATTGATTTTTTTATCATCTCAAAAACTTTAGTTCCTAAGAAATAAAATGTTAAACCAATATAGACATAATCACATATGATTGTTAGAAAACACATATTAGTTTATTCACTCGTTAAGTTCTAGTAGTACTAATACTTACATTATATTTAAATAAAAATGTTTCACATCACAACTAAATACCTAATTCACTATTCATTATGTCTATTCGATACATAAAAAAAAGGTGAATAATCTTTACTATGATTTTTTTTTAGTTTTTTTTTCACAATTTCATAATTAAAATTATTTAATAAATCTAAATCTGTTGAAATGGCATTGTAAAATTTAGTTAAGTTCATTAACTTGACAGTTGTTTTTTTTTCTTTCTCCTGTCCTTTTCTTTCTTTCATTTGTAATATCCTATCCCTCTCCATATATGTGGTTCGAATTGGACAATTCACGTAATCATCGTTTTTTGAAAATAATAATAATTATAAAAAACATAATGGTTTAATCACATTTGGTATACCATTTATATATATATATGATACAATTGATATATTTAATATCAATTAATATGATTATGTTCGATGTGTTTTATTTTTATTTGTTTTTACAATCCAAACCCTGTACACCAATTCACCTTTGACCTGCATTTGAATGCCTTTTTATTTATCCTTTAAATAATACAATGAAAAAATATATATTCCTCTCTTTTCTTTGTTATTCTTTATCTTAATCCCTATGCTTCTTTTTTTTCTCTCTTAAATGTTCCATAAAACATTTATTTATCTTTTAATAATAATTTAATTTATATTTTTATTCATGATATGTTGGATCTTTTTGTTTGTTGAACTTAATCATTATTTCTGTCTTGTAATAACCTTTGTTCATGAATGAATGAATGAATCTATCTGTATATACATATATACCCTTGCTTCTTTTTTTTATATGTTTGTATGCTTAACCGGTTTATTGATACTAACGGTTTTAAAATACATTAAATGTATAATATTGTCTTTTCCTGAATTCTTTTTGAATTTTCTCTCCCTTAAATTGGTTTGCCCCGCTGCATTTATCCCTGTGTTGTATGTAAACATTTCCCTTTATTTGCCTGATCATAAAATTGAAAAAAAACATTATTTGAAAAAAATAATTATTTGCATGTTCATCTAATCTGTGTAATTAATCCTCAATAATTGTGAACATCAAATGTTTGATTGAATTATCCTGCACGTATCTATTCCCTTGGGTATTTGGTGTGATTGTTGATATTACACATACACTAACTTTATTTTATTCCCCAAAAATTAGTCTGCACGTAAACCTAATTTAGATAATCGTACAGATGAATGGATTGGAAGTGTTAGGCGCTTTACTTTAAGTCAGCTTAATACTGAAGGTATGACACATCCTTTAGTTTTAGCAGCTCGACGTCAAAGTACATCAGTTAACCGAGGTGGATCGATTAGTGCTTCTGGTAATCTTCGTCATACAACACCACAAGATGTTCCTGAAGAAGATGAAGAACATGAATATGATGAACGTTTAGATAAAAATTAACTCTTTTTGATCATTGTTGAGTGACATTCTTCTTTTGGGGTGATTTTCTTCTAAACAATTTAGATATTATACATATATATATACATATACATAGACAAGAGTATTTATCATCCGGTTTTATACAACATACAACTATATAAATATACAAGTCTTTTTGCCAAATGTAGGTTGAAAATCAGATTGGACACTCACATCTACTAAGTTATAGCTTAAGGGAACTTTAAAAATCCAACAATAAAATGAAACGTGTTTTTCATGTTTTTTAATAGTTAATATTGAATAGACTCAAATGATTTACGTATATTCAACACAATTTTCTTACACATACTGTTTTTTTTTCATCTTGAACTTATGCATTTTTCAAGTACCGAAAAATACATTAAATTGTCTTCACCACTGATTTTATCTTTGACTTTCCTAATCACTCCCCAATTTTGATCTCAACATATAAAAATATACATATATATCTTTAAATCATATGGATTAAAGGAACATATTTACATTTAATTTGTATCCGATTAGTTTAATCTTAACAAAACAAAATTATTGTTACTATGTGTAATATTATAATTTATAATTACAATTATAACTATCAGCCCAATGATAGACTATAATTATTTTCCTTTTTTTTCCTATCATTATTACATTTACCAACTACTACTACACTCTTGATATTATTCTTATAGTTACTGACATGATTATTTTTACTGCTACAATACGTCTTTTTTATTCAATCTTACTGTCCAGCATCGAATGTGACTGAATGAATACTCTTATCATCTCAAAATGAAAAATAGACGATATAGCATATAATCATTAATTATTCGATTCGTATCTTGGTAATAGTTTCTCATTTATTCTTCAAACAAAACACTTTGGGAAAGGTTTACTTCAAATGAATATATATATATATATATATATATATATATATATATATATATATATTCATTGAATCAATGTCTTAGTCCATGAATTGGATATACATTAGAATATTATCATTCCTTTGTTTCCAGCATTTATTTCTGTTGATTGTTTAATTATAGTCTTTTGAAACGATGTAAAGATAAAATATTATTAAAGTAAATTGATCACTCGCTCAAGTTGGTATGTAATGGACTTAATAAAAATAAATTACTCTTAATTCAGAGTTTATAGAGTTTTTTAATATGTTCTTTTAAAGAATAATTGATACTCTAAAAACCTACACATCGAGTATGAGAAGTATCGCCATACTCATAAGGTTATATATAATGAAGTAATATCAAGGTGTTATATGTTTGTATCTATACAAAGTTTCTATTATCCAAAATATCATTCATTCACCTCTGAGGATAATATTTACCTATTCATATTTTTTTCATTTAAAATATGGACTTTTGTCTATGTCACTATGAATGAGTCTGTTTATTTTTCATCTTCTTAACTAAATTTTAATTTTCTTTTTAATATTATGTTGCCTCATTTATATATATATATATATATATATATATATATATATATATATAATCTTCTGATCTAGTATTTAATTCATATTTCAGTAAATCTTTATTGCTCATATGGCTCAATACTTTCATAGGAAACTATTCACAATTCATGTATTCATTGATTTTTGTGTAGTTGATGTTGTGTAAAATCAGTTTACCTTCATCATCCTTACCATCATTGTAAGTGAACAACTTTCATCTTTTAGTCTATGTGAGAAACATGTATAATAACTTATACAATTGTTTTTCATACAATTAAAACAATTAACTTTGATCAGTAACAAATGATAATAGAATGAGGATTAATAAACTGTAATCATATTCATTTCCCTAAATTATCTGATAATGGAATATTATTCTATATAAAATATAAAAAGAAATAATAAGTCATTTGTAGTTATGATAGGCTTATGATAAGCTATATGATGTAATTATGTTGGTTCATTATTTACCAATTTGAAATTAATTGTCATTATACATTATTCATTTATTATTTTTTATCAAAACTAATAGTTCGATTAAGCTAATCAGAATTGTTTTGTTAATTCAGTGTTGAAAACCGGTAAGCAACTTTGATCTTAGCATCAGAGGTTGAATTAAACAATATAGTTGCCTTTAGCTAAAATAATATACACATGAAACTTTTGTTTATATTCGATTAATTCCAAGCATAACTCCTTCCATACAAACTGGGTTTTTTCTAGTTAAGATTAATTGTTATATTATTTCATTTCACTAAGTAATGTGTTGTTCTTAATATATTACAGTTTTTATTGACTTAACAGTTGTCCCCTACCACATGGCCAAAAAAATGTCGCAATCATAAACTTGATAATTGATTTAAGAGGTATTCTCTTATTTTATTAATACCTAAATACTGATTGAATTTCCTTTAAAGAAACATTTTTACTATCATCAATCATCTGAACTATAAGTTATCGCCATAATTAGTTTCAAATGACTGATTCAACAAGAAGAATGATTACGGTTGAAATATATCAGAGATAGTGTTCTTGATGTTAATGGTAATTAGACTACCTTTGAGCATTATGAAAGAAAAGTGTGAATTTTCCAGAGTTTGTAAAAATAACATGTTGATGACTGATATTCAATTCTAAATCAAATCAAATCAAGTGATTATTTCGAATAATCACATAAATGATTTAACAATGCTGTAAACACACACCTACAGAAACACTTGGGTAGCAGTACATTTATGAAATTTTCTTAAAACACAAAGAAAACAAAAACGAACTCAGTTGTTATTTCATAACGGATATTTTGAAATTGATTACATACTTATTTACAAGAAAGACCAACAAATAATTGATCCATAGTTTACAACATAAATCCATATGACTTCATTCTATAATTTTCTTTATTCTTTGGCCGTTTCAGTTTTCATTCAATCATTAATCTAGATATAGTCAATCTTAGCAAACCTAAAAGTATTCTATAGAGGAAAGAATATTGATAATATATGCATGACAAATGAATATTTCTTATCATAAAGAACAAGTTTATTTTCGTTAGTTGTTTTTTTAAATTGAGTTAGGTTGTTTGCAAATTAACAATATACCATTTCAATGAAATTGCATTAACAAAAGATATTAATACAACCATAAAATAATAAAAGAGAATTTCCGTTAATTACATTAATATAAGTTGTAATAATTTACAAAATAGAATAAGAAAAGAGATTTCAAAGAGAAATGGGATTTTGAAATGATTAACGACAAATTATATAACAGGAATAAAAACAGATTAAGGATAATAATAACGGATATATATATATATATTGAAGATCTCTCAAGTTATTTCATTGTTATATAAATCTTGAATACTCTATTTCACGTACTAGTTATACATAAAAATCACTTGGGTTTTCTTGAAGTAAAGAAAAACAAGATAGTACAACAATGTGTACTTCTAGACTGGAAAATGTTGGATTGATTTAAAATATTGATTGACTTAAAGTGAAAAACCCGTTGCGCAAATAAGTGACTATCTAGATTCAGTAGCTAATTGAATAATGCGATAGTGTTTAAAGCGAACGGTTCTGTGTTTGGATCCCAGAGTGAATATCCAGTTCATAAATTTCAAATAGAATAAAATGCCCATACTGGATTCCACTGCTAGCCACGTTCCATCTATCGTAAATAATTTATATATTACGAACCAAATATCATTACATTTTTTATTTATGTAAACAATTATTCCAAAAAGTAACTGTTTTTAATATAAACCAAATTCGTCACTACAGAACGAAAATCTAAACATGTAGAAAAATTCACTTTTTGTGTGTAACCATGATTATTTACATTTTGAACTTGAAGTTATTAGAATAAGGGTTTATGGAGATTGTAGTAATTTCAATAGTTGAATTCATGAGTCGAGTTCTTTTGTGTGGGATCGTAGTTCCACACTGTTGAGGATTCCTATGCTAGGATGAAACGGTCTTCCAGTGCTTCCAGGTTTTCAATGGTGGTCTAGCTTACACCGACTCATGAATTCAACTATTAAAAACTTGAAGATAATGGTCAAGGCGCTTAGTCAAAAAATGCTTAATGTGTCGAATGATATGTTACATATATTATATAAATTATTTGCTTTGACAGGGAATTTTCGATTTTGTTTTCATTCAATCAAATAATCATTATCTCAGTGTAAAATCTAATAGTACAAACTAAAGGAAAGAATAATATGTATCATTCTGATGCTTTGAATTTTTTTTAATATTTAAACTATTTAATTTATAACTCACCGAATGTTTTACTCATTACAACTATGTTCATTTTGTTAAAGTCAATAAGCCTTATTTTAATCTCTGAAAAAGTTGAATAGTGGATAATGGTGTAACACAGTATGCTTATTTCGTCCTATTTGAAACTCATCAACTGGATATATTTATATACTAATGCTGATGCTCATATAATGACTTGAATCTAGTAACGTTCACTTTAAATAATAAACACATTCTCTGATTGTATTAAACTTAATTAGTAGTTATCATAGTTATTTACAAAGAAATGCAATATTTAAATTTAAAGTAATGATAGAAATGTAGGTTTAGTTATTAGTTAAACAAGTTTACAATTCAAGCCCTGATCTTCATCCAATAATATATATATATCCATATGAAGAAAAATGCAATCACATATGCTTAGTGAAAAAAAAACTTTTGGAAAGTAGGATGTATAAAACATGTTACACATCCTACCTGAACATTTAAGAACTAATGTTAATAAACCTGATGTCCATGAACAGTTGAATAGATAGGCAAAAACTTTGATGATCAAATATTCCATAATACTTCACATTAGGTAATCTTTTAGAAAGATAACAAACAACTGTACTAAAGTTTAATTGATATATTACTGAAATTAACATTTATTTACAGATCATTCATGAAACAGATTAGTGAAATAGTTTACAGAGTATTATTTGATAATTTTATTATAAGCTATTCATGAATAACTTGTTAACATTTTTTTTATGTTATTCTTGTTGATTTGATTCGTATAAATTATATGACCATTAAGAATGACGTTTATTTTGTTTTCTTCTCTCTCGATTTTTTTTTTTTTTTCTGTTTTTTTTCCTACCTAATTGTTGTAAATGTCAATTTGTATTGAAATAATGTTTGTGTGTGTGTGTGAATGGTTTTATGTTTCGTAAATGTATGTTTGATCACATGTTTGAAATTGTTTGTTCTTTTATTTTGTTCGGTACGGGTTCTTATTTTCTACATAATATTGTTTGATTTTATTTCCTCTCCGTTTATAATTTTTTTCTTTCTTTACTGTCTAAATTTATCCAACTAAATGTTATTACTTTTGTTCATTTAATGTCACTTTCTTAAAAATTATTTAAATACACTAATACAATTTGTAACTGTACTTCATCTTTACTTATAAATAAATAAAAAATAGTTGAAAGTTGTACATGCTTTTCGAGATCAACGGGATTCAGAAGATGAACGTGTGAATATAGCAGCGTTAATGCATCATCATCGTTCATCAAAAGATGTCTTACAACCAACATCAAAGAAAAGAAGAAAATCACAGCAACTATATAAGAATAACAATGACAATAATAATATTAATTCACATCAACAATCCCATCGTTACCACCACCACCAACAGCGACGACAACAACTTCAACAAACGGATTCCACAGACTTTTCTCCTACTTTCCCAGTTACATCAAATAAGTTGGGAGAAAAAATTGCAGAAGGACATCCACTGTTAGTTTTAGAGCTAACTAATGATGAAGAAAAGTATCATGATAGCAATGAGCATTGTGATATCAACGATGATGGTAATAATATCAATGTCAACACCAGTAAACAAAGACAAGATCATGATCAGGAAAGTACACTTACCGAAGTAACAACGATGAAATGCAAGAAGAATAATGATGATAACCAGTTTGAAGAAACTGGTTATGAAATTTCAAAGGAAACTACGGACAATATGATAAATCCAGATCTTGAAGAATGGATTAAATCGAGTTGGTTACATGATTCAAGTGGGCAAGAAAACATAAGCTGTACTGTGCCAGAATCATCATATAATATGGGAAATAGTTTTCAACTACAAAATAATCCCTCAGCATGTACATTTGAGCGTCAAGATTCAAATACCGTTGTAGTTGGAAGAAATCAACATTCAAATCGGCCGCATAAACAAAGAAGATCAAGTAAACCACCTGCTCCGCCACCTCCATTTAAACAACCATTTAGTACAGCTACCTCAGACAGCTCTAATCTACTTTAAACTTCCTGTGATATACATCAGTCCAACTGTTTATTCTTAAGTTTCATCTACCTATATTATTGAAAAGAACATGATATATAATCTCATATCGTTTATATAATAATGCATTGTTCCTCAACAAATTAGTGAATAAACATATTACTTCTTACTCTACATTAAAAAAGAATTTATCTATTATTTGTAAATTAAATTTGAAGATATTGTCTACTAGAAACATTGTTCAATTTGTAATCTCAGTGAAATCTTCATTCATATCTATGAAACTCTATACGTTAAAACTGAGATTCTTACTTCATATATAGAATCTCATCTTAAATAATTAATTATTAATTATTTAACAATTCCCTTTACATTTAATTCATTTCATATAAGAAGAAACAGTGATTTGCCTAGCAGTTTAAAATTTGCTCAATCATCAATTACAGTGATTTTTATTATCATCATCATCACCATCATCATTATCATCAACAACAACTTCCGTTTTGGAAATCACTTTGTTTTCCAACGTATATTTAAAGAAAACATTTTTTATATTATATACTACTTCTATATTCTTACCGTCAGTTACTTTGGTTTATTTAAATTAATTCTAATATAATGTTATTGTATTCAAAGAAATATTAACTTAATGATTCCCTCTCTAAAACATCTTATTCCATCAATTTATTCATTTTCTATACTTTAATGAAATTTATAAAAAATAATTTTTTTTCAGCACATTCTTCAAGTTTGTTTTTTTTTTGTATTAACAATTTCACACAGTAGATTGAAAAGCACAAATTTTCCCTCTTTTATTTTTAAACAAACAAAAATCAATAGAAAAGAAGAAAACAAAAACTTTAAAAATTGAAAACAAATGTGCACATATGATAATTTAATTCATTTATTATTCTTTTGTTATATGCATGGTTGTGAAATGTATTCATTGAATGCTTGAAATCAATTTTATTATCATTATCAATATTGTTATCGTCATCATCGTTAAATTATGTAATCTATATATATATATATATATATATTCAAACAAAACAACTGCATTTTATTCCACTGAAAGGTAAGTTATCTTTATATATAATGTGACTACTAATTTATTTTCCTCCGCTTATTTGTTTTTCAACGTTGTAATCATTATTATTACTATCACTATCATCATTACTATCATGTGTTTAACTCATTATCATTATTATCATTGTGATTTTATTTTACACACTGAGATATTTAATTAATTTTATATATTTAACTTTCAGTTTGATTTAAGTTTATAATTAATGTTTTCAAAACAAAAAATGAAACGTTATTTTTCTATATTTGTTGTCTTTATTCTTTTGTTGTTGTTGTGCACATATGATATATGTGAATGAGCTTCAATTTCGGTACGAAATTTATTAATTTTGAGATAAAACAAAAATTTAATAAATAAACATCCGTGGTAAAAAAACCATTAGAAAGTAGTCAGTGATTACTCATGAGAGTTTTCTTCAACTTCTTGTGTTATTCCTTTAGACTCTTGATACAACTTTCTTTTTTACTTTACCATTATTAGGTTTACGTGATATGATAATCACTTAATATTGATTTTTTCACACTACAGTATGTCTTATACACAACAGAATAGCTTTTCTATGTAAACTGCTTTATATATATATATATATATATATATATATATATATATATATATATATATATATATATATATATATATATATATGGGATAGTGGAGATCCATAGCTCAAGTGGTTGATTTAGGTATTGTTTCACTGATCTGGATGGTTTAATTATGAAGCCTTCATTGTTCTCCTGAATAACATCATTAGCACAAACTTCAGGTATATATATATATATATATATATATATATATATATATATATATATATATATCCTAGAAATTGTTACAGTCGTTCTTTACTAATGAGATAGTATTGATATTCACAATAAAATCCATCTTTTTTAACTGTTTTAATTCATAACAGTTAGTTAAATAATTTGAATTTTAAAAAAGTGTAAGCATATGTTTTATTATCAAATGTTAGCGTGGAAAATTAATGTTATTCACTTTAACAGGTAGACAAAAATTGTCTACAGCAAAAAATATGTATGGATTATAAGAAGCAATAATTAAAAATAAAAATAAAAACATTGAATAAAAATAGAAAACTTTGAGTTGAATTTCATCCATTATTAAAGATAGTTTATTTTAACTATTTATAAAATAGCTTTTCCTAATCTTCTTTGATATTTTTAATTTTATTAAGTAGTATAAAGAGTATTAATAGCTAGTTATTTAGTTAATTATTGTTTTAATAGTGAAATCAACTTGTCAACAGTTATTAACAATTAATTGAAATTCTACAATTTTAAATATCATTTGGTTACCAACACAATTTCAAGTCATGGTTTTACTTTGATTTTTTGTTTACATAACATTGTTCTGTACTGACTACGCTTAAAATATAAATTCATTGTAAAGCCTTTCTACTATTTATAATTTACTTATAAGGGAAGTTTTTATTTCTATACACTAACAACAATGACCGTTACTGTTGTTATTAGGTTTACGTGATATGATAATTAATTAATATTGATTTTCCGTACTATAGTATGTCTTGTCACAAGAGAAGATCCTTTGTATGTAAACTGCTCTCTCTCTCTCCCTATATATATATATATATATATATATATATATATATATATATATGGATTTGTCTGATTTATTATTTTATTTCCATTGTAATTCAATAGTGAAAATAAATTAACTGTCCCAACAAAAAATTATATCTAATTTTTAACTTGCCTCATAATCATTTACATTATTTGCTTATTTTTAAGCCGTCATTTGAACCATTGAAACTAGAGATGCCATTTCTTAGTATGAAACACAAGCATGATATTATAGTTTCTATATGGATAGTTTATGACTAGTTTTTCCCCCTATTATTTGGTTAGTGTTGTGTTTTTTCTTCTTTTTTCATTTTACCCTATCACTGTTAGATCACATTTTGCACGTCAACACATTCTCCTAGCATGTATAATAATAACAATATTGATTGGTCCATTCACTGATGAGCACCTTGTTTCAGAAAATGTAAAAATAGTTAATCTTTTTTTGGCCTTTGAATAATTCATTTATTTTTATTGTTGATATGATAGAATGAAAATAATTAGGTTTTTATTTTTTGCTTAAGATAAGATTGGGAAAGAATATCGACATTCATAAATAAAAGATTTCGTATAGAATATTTTGCATGATATTAAATTTAACAGAATACTGTAAAAATGCCCAAGTATATGTATGCATATATATATACATATATATATATATATATAAATGTTTAGACTCATTCTATATTCCTATATACACATATATTTATTTATTTATTGCTTTACTCATATAATGTATTCAAAGCATGCAATCAGTAAGAAAGAATAATTATTTGAATTATCATTAATTGTATTTATTATTCTTTTAATTCTTTGGAAACGTTGGGAAAACAATATATATAACGTCATTGTGGGGATGTGTGCGTGTTTATTGGATGGAATGTGACAGCTTCGTGCAATCAGAGCATTTCGTGGTGGTTATTCAAGTAAACTATGTGATATGATGGAATGGAGTAATCAATCGAAACGATATGTCAATCAATCATATATTTCACATTCATATCAAACAATAAATCGTTCATCAACAAATGTTTCAAAGAATAATGAAGAAATACTTACGAAATCAGTAATTCATTTGAAGGACGATAATGATGATGATGATAATAATAATAATGATAATAATATTGGTGATGACAATAATAATAATAACTCTAGTACAGTCAATCAAGAAAAATAGTTTTACAGAATTTCTTCTCAGAACTTTTAGAAAAGTATTTTATACAACCAACTAAAAGAAAATAGATCTACTGTCATCATTCTAACTCTTTCTTTAACAACATAAATTTATATATATACACATATGTATTTTTCAGATGAAAAAGGTATTCAATTAAATCAGTAATTAAGAAGTGTTTTCACTGCTTAATTAACATTATGAATTAAATTTTACCTTGGGTGAATTTTACTCATGTTTTATTATTATTATTATTAAAATCATCATCACATGCCTACTAAAACCATTTGCCATTATTTACTATTTTTTACACAATTACTATTCCTATCTACTACTATTTACAATTATATGTATAAAAGATTGTGATATGGTCTAAATTACTTAAGCATATTTCATTTGCATACAATATTACAATCTTAATGTATGTATATGTGAGAATTTGTGTGAAATATTTAGATGAAACAATGAGTATAATAAACAATATACATTATCTTACTATTCAAGAATTATAGAACAGTTTAATTTAAAATAATTGTTGATTATAAAGTGAATATTCTCTGATATATTTTTACTCATTCAAATTATGAGCATTTTTTTCCCTCGACAGGTATTATTCTATAAATAAGACTGAATAAGGCTGTGTGAGGTTATATATACATATATTGATTTTTTCTAAAACACAAACAACTATAACAGATGGACTATATCACCATTTCTCATATTCCTCTAAATTCTTCATATTTAAAGCACAGTAACCATCCAATATCTACTGTTTACTGTTTTAGTGATAGTATTATTAGTTTTGAGTTTAGTATAAAACAACAATATTAACTTAGAAATAAAGTTATAGAATTCCGTCAAACTATTAGCAACTCATCATATTCACAAGTTGTCTATCTTGAAGTACACTTAATAAAGTAACCTATATGATTGTCTACATTTTTAACCATAAAAGCTTGGATAAGTTATTTAAACTGCATGATATATATATATGATAGGTTCAGAGGGTTGAAAAATGATTAGGAATCTCATTATTTTTACGGTTAAATGAAGATAACTCAGAACTCAATGTCATTGTAACCAAATATTCTGACTTTCCTGCAATTATTGTTTTTCTAAACTCTTAATTAGATTTCCAATTTTTAAATAAGATTCCACTTAATGAGAGAACAATTTTCCTCTTGTAGTTCAGATACTTAATTAGTTGAATAATATAATATTATCAAACAATACAATACTGTACTTACAGACTTTATATGTGTATGTATGGACGTATTCAAAAATTCATACATCTTTCATCTTGTCATTCATTCTATCCAGTTTCATTTTTATTTCTTTCATTTGTTCTTGCTCTTATCTTATTAAATTTATTACAACATATAATAAAATGTGAACAGGAATGATAATTTCTTTTACCTATTCTATTGTCTTATTCATTCTGTTTATTATTATCTGAACTATGTTGTTTAAAAATATACATCATTTCTCCTAATAAAAAAATACCCTAACTACAATTTCAGTCAATTATTATTATTACTATTGATTCTATTGTCTTCATTTGATTGAATCTGACTTTTATGATGACAATTTTTTCTCACTCAAATTTAGTTTAAAATCATCACATTATTTTTTCTAAAATTCCAATTAATGATTGTATACATTAGGTTTACAAATTTTGATGTATGAACTGAATATATATATATATATAATTGAAAACAAATATATACTGTTATAAGTCTTCTTACATTGATTACTTTCTTTCGTTACTGACGCCTCCACTGTGATGCGCTTTCAGTGAGAAAATGAGATTTCATGTTTGTTT